TATATATATATATATGTAAAAAATATTTCTCAAGCTGCTTTAGATAAGTTTATCTTCGGCCATCCCAAAACTACGTCGTTTTGTTTATTTATTTTCTTATTTTAATTGATTCACCTTTGAATGGTTATGATTTCTTTTTTCTCTCTCTTCCTTTATCACCATCGATCAATCTTTGTATGGTTATGATTTAGTAGCCGGAGATAACATTGTCTCAAGCAGCTTGAGAAACGATAAGCCCTATATATAGGAAGGATCCTTTGACACCAGTGTCAAATTTTAAATTTGACACCTTTTCTGATAGCCGTTAGATAAAAAAAAGACCAATGGTGTCACATGCTTGCAAATCAGAGTCGTTGATCTTTTTGTGTCAAATTTGAAATTTGACACTGGTGTTAAAGAATTCTACCTCATATATATATTTATATACATATATACATGTGTATGTGTGTATATATACATATATATATATATATATACACACACATACACATGTATATATATACACACATGTATATATATAGATACACGTACACATGTATATGTATATATACATATATATATATATTTATATATATATAATGTTACAGGTCCAATTTATATGGATATAAAATTAATAATTTTTATGCATATTTTTACCTATTAATTTATGTGAATCTGATCATATAATTAATTAATGAATATATTTTAATAATTTATATATATCATATAAACATAAATTAACAACTACAATTAAATATAAAATTTATTATTCATACCTCCATATAAAATTATCTTTATTTGTGTCACCTACAAACAAATAAAAGTTTGTAGAACATTTTTTTTCTTTTCACGTAACCTCACATGAGGTCCATCTGTGGTAGAGCCACTTTAGAACCAATAAGTGCCTTGACACGATCGGTTTATATATTATTTATAGAATTATGGAAATAACAGCTCCTCCATTGCTTGTACACTGGCTGATTTTTTTTAGGACTTGATGTTTGTTGTAGGTTAAAAAATTTGTGTAGCCTCTGTCACTTGCATTTATATATTTTTATATATTTTGTAAAAAATAATTTTATCCAATGTTATGAAAATCGAACCGGACCGGCCAGGTTGACCCGAAACCCGGTGAATCGGTCATCTGACCGGTCCAGTTATCACATTAGATCGGTTAAGCATCAGACCCGGTATGACCCAGCCGGTTAACCGGTAACCCGGCCCGGGTTTAAAAAAAAAAGTTTTCCAAAAAATATAAAATTAATTAATATATTTGAGTGATCTGTTACTTATTGACTTTCATAAGTTATGTACCTACAATACTAATATTATCTCAGTTATGCGCTATGAAGGAAATTTTGATTTGATAGTCAGAGATGTCGTTTACTGACCTGAAACACCAGTATAACAAGCCTTACGTGTTTGTTTGATCCTTTATTGGACAATAATATATATTTTATTATTTTTTATATTAAAATATTTAGAATTTATATTATTTTTTTAGCTATTTAAGTATATATATAATTTTTTTAATAATAATTATAGATTTATATATAATCGCCGGGTTATGTAATTGAACCAGTAATCCATTGAATGAACTAGTGATTCAGTGACCCGATACCTCAACCGGATCATTGATCGAGTCAGTTTTAATAACATTGATTTTAATTCTTATTTTGTTACAAACATCAAACCCTAAAACTATTCTAATAAAAAAGGAAATGATACATACGAGGAAGCTTGCTCGACAATTCCAACCAGTTTTTGCTGGCATTGGTCATTGGGACACGTGCCATTCCAATCAAGAGTAATAAACTAAGCAAGGGGTATTATCCTGGTCATTAATTACCAGTAACACGTGTGAACTGTCTTAGATATGTTGTCATTAGTCAAAGTTCCCTCCTTTCCCATTACCTTGATATGTCTCAAAGATGGGAATGACGATGCTGATGACATAACGATAACGACATTGGAGAATCACTAATTTCTGCAGAAACCGCATTCAAAACCGTGATTGGAGATTTATGCCTTTTGCTGTTAATTAGGAATGTGCATGTTGATAACCGGTTTTCGTAAAATTCAAACGCAACTGGTTTGAAATGATTTGGTTTTCAAATTGAACTAGTTTTGTTTTTAAACAAACCGGTTTTTATTATCCAAATCGGTTTGAAACCTGTTTCAAAATCGGTTTACGGTTCATAACCGGTTTTGATTTAAAATTGGTTTTAAACCGGTTTTAATTCAAAACCAGTTTTAAATCAAAACCGTTTATGAACCATAAACAGGTTATCAAGTTCAAAACCGGTTTTTTAACAAATTCAAAATCGATTTTTGATTGATTGTGCTATTTTTATAAGTAGTCGTTTGTTTCTCCCTATTATAGGTACTTGACCAACTATTTCTTGCAAAAATCTTCATTGTTTTGGAACATTAAGGACGAAATGATTCTTATAGAAATTGTTTCACGTTATTTTTATGGAAAACATTTCCATAAAAAAAAAATTTGTCAAATTTTTTATGGAATATAAATTTAGTCAAAATATTTCCCTCAAAATATCTCACAAAAAAACATATTCATCAAAATTTTTGACGAAAAATATTTCTATCAAAATTTTCCACGAAACACATTTCCTTCGAAAACTTTTGACGGAAAATAATTTCATCAAAATTCTTTATAGAATTCAAATTCCGTCAAAAGTTTTCGACGAAAACATTTTCGTTAAACTTTTTGACAAAAAAATTTCCGTTAAAATTTTTAACAAAACACATTTCCATCGAAAATTTTCGACGAAAAATATTTCCGTCAAGTTTTTTGATAAAAAAATATTTTCATCAAAAATTTTCAACAAAACACATTTCTATGAAAAATTTTCGTTAACGAACAATATTTCGATAACATTTTTGACAAAAATGTTTTTCGTCAAAATGCTTTATAAAAATATTTTTCGTCAAAAAATTTGAGGGAAATGATTGGAGGGAATTTAGATTCCGTAAAGAACTTTGACAAAAAAATATTTCGTCAGAATTTTTTATAGAAATATTTTTCGTCAAAAAAATTTTCTGAAATATTTTTCGTCAAAATTTTTTACGTAAATATTTTTGGTCAAAATTTTCGCTGTAAATGTGTTTTGTTGAAAATTTTGCTGAAAATATTTTTCGTCAAATTTTTTTACGTAAATATTTTTGGACAAAATTATCGGTGTAAATGCGTTTTGTTGAAAATTTTGCAGGAAATATTTTTCGTCGAAAATTTGGACGGAAATATTTTTTGTAAAAAATTTGACGAAATTATTTTCTGTCAATTTTTTTTATGGAAATGTGTTTCGTCAAAAATTTTTACAGAATTATTTTTCGTTGAAAAGTTTTACATAATTGTTTCTGTTGAAAGTTTCGACGGAATTTAGATGCTATCAAGAATTTTGACTGAAATATTTTGTCCCTAAAAAATTTGTGTCAGTGATTATGACAAAATCTTGTTCCGCCTCTAGTTTCAACGAAAAAAAAGTTCGTCTCTATTTTTTACGTAATATGAGACTTTTCTAATAATGTCACATTTAAAAATGATTTATATTTATGTAATTTTCACATCTTAATGCTAAGGATAAAAGATAATACTTATTTGTTCTTGAATTGTAAAATAGTTTGAGACTGGATAACCAATTATTTTTATGATTTGGTAAATAACCAGTTTATAAAATAAAATGCAATTTCATATGAAACCAATTTTTAAAAATAATCGGTTTTTAAAATGTGGAGCGGTTTGGTTCTTTTGGACATTTTGCTCATCCCTACTGTTAATTCAAATACTTCTAATTCTGGTGTTTACCTTTAAAATAAGAAAAATAATTTTCTCATATTATATATCTATTAAAATTCGAATTAAATTTTTTTTAATTGTGAAATCCACCTCATTATATTTCTATATAAGACAATATTTTTTCATGTAACATAATAAAAATATTTCTCTTAAAATAATTCATTATAAATGGAACATAAAATTTAAAATTCTAAAGTGTCATTGTTATTCACAAGAATCAGATACGAACTTAACATGTTTTCGACATTGAATATATATATATATATGAGTTTTCGTTTGTCCTTTAACATGACATGGTAAAATTTCTTACACACACAATATTTTGTGAGGTCCACATTTTTTAAGCAAAAAAAAAAAATTAAGGCATGAAAAATGAATCTTAGTAACATGACACAATCACTTTTCCTACCATATAACTCTTATAAAACATATATATATATAATTCTACCGTTGATTTCTATAAATTTAATTATTATAATTTATTATATCATTTTTATTAATTAATTATTAATTTCAAATAAATTATAATTGTAATATTGGTAACATCAATATTAAAATTTGGTATCAAACATTTTAATTTAATATTAGTGTCAAATGATCTTATCCTTATATATATATATATATATATATATGTATATATATATATATCTTACATAGTTTAATTTATTTTTGTTAATAGGATGAATTTATCTAAAATTAAGTAACTGAATCATACACTGATGTATCATTAAATAAGTATGTCTTGTAAAGTAATTGTCATTACTTTTAAAAGATTTAAGAACTTCTCTTAAATAAATGGGGACGATGGCAACAACAACCTGTACACGTCAGCAGTATTTTACATTTCTCGCTTTCACTTCTCTAGAAGGAGAATATCTTTAGTACAAGTCTAGAAGACATGGATCATAGCGACTACGCGTAATGAGGATAGAAAATTTCTCAGTCGAACTCTGACCTTCAAATCTTTAATTTAATCATGAAAGTTATAAAATTAACAAGGTCCAATCATTTCTCAAAAGTTTATCTAGCTGAAGTGGACTGGACCTGGTCAGCATTCTATTGCTTACTCACCAAATACCAGTCTTACTTCAAAAAAGTCGCTTTCTCAGTCAAACTTGGACTTATTTCTTCAAAGGATAGCAGAGTTTATATACAAGGCCTTCATTTCATTCATTCAGCAAAAACCCTTCACTCATTGAGCTTTTGTCCCTTCACCTTCATTCCCATTTCCCACATTCTTCTGTCTGTTTCAACTTCTAACCATTCAGTTTTCAGTCCGAACAAAATCATAGACAATATTATACAAAATGGAAAATAACAGGAGTTGGGAACAGAACGCACTCTTCAATGAGCTATTTCAGGGGATGGAGATTGCAAGAAAGTTGAAGGAAGACTTGACTTTACCCTCTTCGGCTGACACTAGGGACTTGCTTGTGCAGAGGATATTATCTTCTTATGACAAGGCTTTACTAATTCTAAGATGGAATGCATCAATTTCCAAGTCACAGACCATGCATCAAGCAACTAAAACTTTGTCACCAGAGTCCCCAGTATCTGCCAAAAGAAGTCCTCCAATGGAGGACATTGATGGGGGCCTAATGGACCATCAGGAGCTTAAACACGATTCAAAGAAAAGGTTAATCTTTTTTACTTGGAAGACTTAGTAGCAGAAATTTATTGCTAGAGAAACATCAACTATATCTACTTATACTAACACTCTTAGCAATTTGTTTTGTGAAAAATGGTTCCAGAAAGACGATGCCCAAATGGAAGGATCAGATTAGAGTGAAGTTCGAGAATGGCTTTGAATGGCCCCACGAAGATGGATTCAACTGGAGAAAATATGGACAGAAAGACATCCTTGGTGCCAAATATCCCAGGTACGAGGATATTTTCCTTTTCCCTATCCCTATGGTGCTTAATAAAATAAACACAACAATTGAGATGAAATTAACAATTGATTGTTACATATGCAGAAGCTATTATAGGTGCACCTTCCGCAACACTAAGGGCTGCTGGGCCACGAAGCAAGTGCAGAGAACAGATGAAGACCCCACTATCTTTGACATCACTTACCGAGGAAGCCACACCTGTTCTCAGGGAACCAATGCGGTTCTGCCACCAAAGTCACCAGACATACAAGAGAAACCGCATGGTCATAAAAACGATGTTTGCCATGCGCAGCCATCACAAGAAAGCCTTACAAAGTTCAGAAACACCTTGACTGTTAATACGGTTAACCTGGGAAATGAAGAAACGGCACAACATTTCACTTCCACTTCGAATTCATTTGGATGCTTGACACAAGATAACCACACCTTATTTCCTTCGGTACTAGAGAATGATCCCTTCTTGAGCAGCCTTTCACAAACACACTTGTCTCCAAACACGCCAGAATCAAATTATTTTCTAACTCCGTCTTTCCTCATAGATGAGTTTGATGGGATCTGTAACAAGCCATGCCCAGATTCTGATATTACTGAGATCGTTACCGCCAACACATCAGCCACCAATTATTCAATTTTCGATTTCAATTTCTCACTCGATGTACCGGAAATTGATCCAGATTTCCCTTTCAATGCCTCGGGATTTTTCTCCTAATTGCACCCGAGAATAAATGGCATATTATATGTCGAAAGTTATGATTAGAACATTTGAAGAAAGGGTTGGTAGCATGTATTATAAATTAGGACAACTTTATATACAGTAGAACAATGAACCACCTATGACAGCACTAATAAATGCCAGTGTAGTTAAATACTTAATATCAGCGTTACATTTTTAGCAGTATTTTCTTTGAGACACATGAATGCTCCAAATTTGCATTTGCGCAAACAACGTACAATCCGCATCGTTGGTGGAATAACAAAAAGCAGAGAGTAATTAAGTGAAGCACATTACAACCACCTGATAAAAAGAGTGAAAAAAAATTAGTAAAGCTTCTAGAACGTCACTGAGGACCAAGTTGCTGTATTTGTAGACTGCAATGCAAGGGACCCGATAAAAAATTTGGACAAGGCAGCTTTAGCGTAAGGTTCATTTCAAACTGACAAGAAGGGGTATTCACTCTTAAATTATTAATAGGTTAAGATTATAATACACTAAATCAAGATTGAATACCTCTTTTTTATTCAATTTAAAAACGAATTCACTTTGAAAGTGAATGTGCTGTGCAGATGCTAAACTAATGTACACCGTCGCATATCCATATTTGTTTTCAACAACCTCTAAGCGCTTGGAAGATTAACCAGACTACCTATAATGCCAAAAAGTCCTAGCTTACTGTGAATGGGGCGTTGAATGTGCCTGTTGCAGAATCGGAGAAGAATCCAGGAAGCTTGAAGGCTGACCGCTGAAGGGTTAGGAAACAAGGTGAGGACCGCGAGGCCCATAATATGGTGCAAATCTTAACTATATGGAGTTCGTAAATCGTAGGGTAGAATTGCTCTCCAGCTATGAGCTGATTGAGCAATGAGATTGTGAGTGACAACTAAAAATTTTCATTCGCACACCTGTGTTGCTAATAATCCACAGCCCTCCAACTTTCCCTTAAAAAATGATACTTTCCCATTCTATTACATTCAATTCCATCCAATGCAATTTGTTCCATTTCATTGTCTCCAAAACCTCCAAACATAGTGAAAGGGTTCTATGTCATCATCTCTTGAATAGCCTTGGGGCAGAAGCGCAAATCAGAAAAGTCGGTGTTAATAATGCCCACAAACCGAAGAGACCTAGCTGAGAATTTCTCGGGGGCAAACTGTCGTGGATTGGACGACAATGCGAAATGTTATCGCCTATTTGTTTTGGCTGCCGGCCGCCGCAAAAGGGCAATGAATAGAAATCATAGCTTCTTTTGATAAAGTAAAGCGCGTTTATTCACTATGACGTCGAGCAAAATCTTAACCAAACATGCCATTAGGAAGCGAAAGTGTGGTTTGTACAAACGGGCAACGACAGGATACTTCAATTAAAGCAAAGGAAAGCCATCTGCATCATAGCTTACATGTAACACGATGATCTTGTCCACCTAAATTACAACAGAATACAAGTCATCCTATTCCATAATTAATACCGGGAAAAAGGGAGGAGAAAACCAGCTTACTATTTGCAACAACTTGAATTAGATTTAGATATCAAATATCACTAAAAAGCAGACAGATTTTTTAACCTTCTCTCCAAAGCCTATATTTAAGAGATTCTTTTTCCGCGAAGAACGGCTGGGTATAACACGAGACAAGTGGCTAACAAGTGGGTTCAAGCGCAGCCTGCTGATGCCAAACACCATTCAGATTAGACTGCCATAGTCGGACCATTCCATCATGACCTGTAGTAGCCAACGTCATTCCACTCATATCCCACTCCATTTGCCACACCTAAACAACATTATCCGGTAAACAACGCCTTGTCATATAATACACCAAAAACCAAGTTCAAACATCCATTCGATGTCAACAAGACAAAATAAAAAATAAACGTGAATATAAAAATAGAGTCAAATCTAAAATCATAATTATACCATGCCTTCATGACCCGACAGTAGAGCAACTCTCTCCACTGGGAGTCTCCTGTTATAATCAGGGTTCAATCCAAGGTGCCATATTCCAAGTCCCTTGTGAGTTGCAACCGCAATGATCTCATACGGTCTGCACGAAAATCATACTAGTCACACATATATAACAGAATGAGTTCTTTCACATTTCTTTGGCAACAAAAGACAACAGTGGTAGACATAACATAACTACAACCTGAGCTAAGTAGCACAAAATTCCTCACATTAGTTGATTTCAGATGAAATCATGGCTGTCACAGTAATCCAGCATTTTGATGCCAGTCGTGATATATGAGGAAGTTCTGGCTATTAAAAGTGATCGACATGTCTCTAAAATTTTGCAGACATTTACCTGCCAATATTTGGTGCCCATGCAACAGCATAAACCTGATCACCCTTGTCCTCAGGTAGTGCCAATTCTGCCACCGGAATCCATCTTTGATGAGCCTGATCAAATTCCCATACCTGGGGAAAAAATCACACGTCAGAGATGAAGAATACCCCCTAAACCCAATAGAAGAAATATGTGGACAACTTTTTTGCTGCGGTTAAAACAGTGAAATATTCCCCATTGTCACAGATTGTAACACTTGCAATGCTACACACAGTTCAGAGAGACAAAGACAATTCTAGAATGCAATATACCTTAGACAAGTTATGATAATGCAGCTGAAATTAAAATGAAATACAGGGAAAAACTATAGACTTGAGTTACCTTACAAGAATTAAGCTCTGCTGTATTTGAATTAAAACCTATAAGGAAGCTGGATTCTTGGCTTCCACCTTTTTGTGGATTCCAAGATATGGATGCAGTGAGGCACAAAGCCTTTCCAAATGCAGACACTGATTCAATAACATTCTGGAATTCAGCCTACAATAAAAGAACAAAATAAAAGAATAATAAATTGGTATTCTTTTCTTGTAGTAAGAATATTTAATATCACATTTCCTGACTCGGAGAGAAGGTATAATTTAAACAATGGGTAAAACAAGCTGGTTTCACCTGAAGCTGCCAGTTTCTCAATTCCAAGCGATCCAAGAGCTCGTAAACTCTCAGATGGCCATCTGAATATGCAGCAACCTTAATGGTCATAAAATAGTAAATAAAAATAAGAGTACGATCATCATTAGTATATTAAATGCATGCATTGTTACATGGTTTCGTGTGAAAAGCATGCACACAGAACACAGTCAAGGCAACAGATGAAAAATGTGAAATTGCATCAGATAAACTGATAACTACGATTGCTAATGGCTATTTGAAATTCAGATTTAAAAATGTAGTTCCAAAGCAAAGGACCCCTTTTTTTTTTAATTATAAGTGTTTAAAAAATTTATAATAATTAGGTTAGTTTTTTTCCAAATAAGAAAAAAACCAATAAAAATGTTTTAGTGCTTTTCACAATAGCTAAACAGAGTAGCTTTTGAAAAAAAAGCTCTAAAAAAATGTTATATCATAAAAGAACTTTTTCAAAGTTGAAGCAAACGATCCTAAATATTAATGAAATCATTAAAAATATATAAAACTAACCATTTTCAAACTAGTCAAAGATATTCCAAATTGAACATCAAGGACTTTGCTTGAACTGCTTCCAAAGCTTTTGCAAATCTTCCACTGAAGAGGCTGTGAATCTACATGAAGACAATAAAACATAAGGTATTCATACATACGAATCTTTCGGGCTTTCAGCATTGACTGAATAAAACTCCTAAGTAAACAACTTAATAAATGAAAAGCTCTGAGCTATTAATCGAAGTGTATGGCAAACAAAATAGAGGATTTAAAAATAAGTAAAGAAAATGTAAAAAAACACACAAAACAATAAACATAGCATGCCATCAATAATAGAATCACACGACCAGGGCTTTTTTTTTCAACATATTATTGGCTAGCATGCAACTCTGTTCCTAAATTCAAGAAATCGAGAGTTTATTAGAAGAAGCACTTCTTCACTTTTAGCAAGAAACCAAATTAATGATACCTTCCGCAACCTCCTCCCACAATGATAAAATTCCATCGGCAGAAATACATGCAACTGCATCCCCATATTCTGGCGGAACCCAAATAATCTTCACGATGTTTCCTTCATGAACCTTCACAGTTTTAGGGGGGAAATACATAGATTGTAGAAATCATCGAGAGAAGGATAACAGCTAAGCATGTTAACAAGAAAAATAACTCTTCAAATAGGTCCGGATCCTTCATAAATATAGCAAACTATACCATATAAAATTTATAATTTCACTATTCATACTGCTAGATGAATCTAGTCCGAACTATATGTTCGCACAAAGCAAGAGGAACTCTATCAAACTACTAAAAAAAAAAAAAAGGAAAAGCAATTTAATATCCAATTCATGTTGGAACATGCCAAACGCATGAATGTGAATCGAGAAAAAAAAATGAAGAGTAATATTTGGGATTAATAGGAAATCAGGAAAAATAACAAAATGGAGAGGTGTAGATGTATGAAACATTGAATGGAGGAAGACGAACCCTAAATTTGAAAGTAGAGTGGATGGAGGAAGAAGAAGGTGGGTCGCGGAAATCGAAGACTGAAAGCGTGCCATCAGCGGAACCAGCAGCGAGTCTCATACCAGAGTAGTTCCAGGATGAGCAAGTTGTGCCATTTTCAAGAGTGCACAACTCCTTCGCCATCTCTCTCTCTCTCTCTCTCTCTCTCTCTAGACTGCACTGCTGTGAAACTCCCCAAAACAGAAAACCCTGATTCCGGGGTTTTAGGTTTCAGAATTTTTTTTTCTTGGTAAGCTAGGTTTTAGATTTAAGTCGTAGGAAAAAAAATAATTTATTGCTTTTTTAATAAAAAATTACGAATAAGTAATCGTTTTGAAATTAATTATGAAAATATAGCAGTTAAACACGTCCCATATGTGGTTGGAGAGAGACACGCCCAATGTTGGGCGTGTTTCACCCGGTGCTGCCACGTGGCACAAAAGTCAACAGTTTAACCGTAAAACTTTGGAAGTCCATAACTTTTGACTCGGGTATCCGGATTAGGTAATTTTTTTTTTGAATGCACATAACTTTTCGAGATCTACGTAATGACACCTCATTTGACATATTTTGTCTCTCACAAAAAAAATTAAATTTACAATAATGATACCATAAGAATGTTTAAACAAAAATTAACAGAAAATCACTGTTATGATTAGAAACATTCATAATAAAGATCCTTATGATTATGGTAAGTTATGATAAGGTTAATTATGTATGTTATTGAGATATATATTAAAATTTTGAATGAAGAATTTTATGAAATTTATAATTAATAAAAGTTAACATCTGTCGGTGACAGAATATCGAATAAATTATATTAAAAAGTTAAGTGAGTGTTTTTCGTTTTATTTTGATTTTTAAGTTTTTGTTCATGATTATAAAAATGTTAGATTATTTTTAGTAATAATTATAAGGTAACAAAGTCATGTCATTTTTAATAATCATGGTATCATTGTTGTAAATTCAAATTTTTTGTGAAAGACAAAATAAGTCAAATTAGGTGTCATTGCGTAGATCTCGAAAAGTTATGTGGAATCAAAAAAAAATTACCTAATTCGGATACCCGAGTCAAAAGTTATGGACTTCTAAAGTTTTACGGTAAAATTATTGACTTTTGTGACACGTGGCAGCACTTGGTGAAACACGCCCAACATTGGACGTGTCTCTCTCCTCGGTCATGCCCAACATTGGGCGTGTCTCTCTCCTCGGTCACGCCCAACATTGGGCGTGTCTCTCTCCAACTTGGTCACGCCCCATGTGGGCGTGAGTCACGCTTAGGTCACACCCAACATTGGGCGTGTCTCTCTCCAACCGGTCACGCCCCATAAAGACGTGTTTGACTGCTATATTTTCGTAATTAATTTCAAAATGACTACTTATTCATACTTTTTTATTAAAAAAATAATAAATTAATTTTTTTGCCTTAAGTTATATACTATAAACCGTGCGCAACAAAGTGTAAAATTTATGTATGTAAACAAATTTCTACGTACAAATTTTAAGTGAAATTATTTTATTTTGGCAAGTAAACTTTAAATTTTTCTCCCCTACACTGAAGGAGCTTACTTGCTTCGAATAGATAATTACTGTTGGTATCAAAAAAAAAAAACAATTATTACCAACTTGTTTAATTTTTTTATTTTATTTTAATCATGTATATTTATTTTTTTAATAGATTAAAATTAATATTTTAAAAATAGAAGGCTAAAACAATATAAATAAAGCACACGTTAGCAAATCTATTTACATTTCACAAAAACAAAAATAAAAAACTTTACACTATCTAATCCTAATTTAAGTACATCGCAAGGGTGTAAAAAAATATTATGATATTCATCTCAATTCTTATTTTTTCACCACGAGACATTAAAACTATTTCCTTTTGACAACAAATTTTAGCGAATCTTGAACATAATACCTTTTATTTGTAATGTACATATACCAACATTTGCTTGTTAGTTCCATATTATTTCTCCCATCAAGTTTTATGTTTATTTTTACAATTGATGTAAAGGAATAGTACCAAAAAATCTCATATGGTTCATTTTTTCTAACACTTATTCTCTTGTTATTTTATTTTAATTATTTACCTCTTCTGTGTAATTGTGTTTTTTACTTGTTCATTTGGGCAAGATGGGCAAATAACTCTAATATTTCACAGCGTTAAAGGTGAAATTGAATGAAAAAAATCATAAAAGAAATAAATGACTGGAAAAATATGAGGCTACATAATTTTGAACCAAATTATAGAATTTTTCCTTAAATTTTTAGAAAATATTCATTTTGATGCTTTCAAAAATATACGAATCATGCATAAAAAAAATACATATCATCAATTTAATTTGGGATAACCTTTTTACACCGGTGTAAGAGCAATAAATCTCACTTTCAATCTTAACTGTTGATTTTGTATATCTAAATGTTATAATTTATTGAGAATTGATAATTAATTAATAACAATAGTTTGATGAACGAAAATAAACGATTAAAATTGAATATAAGATTTACTATTCTTACTTTTACATTGGTATATCCCACACACACAGAGAGGCAGATCTAGGTATCAGAGAAGGGGGGCAAGTGCCCACCCTTAAAATATGATGTAAAAATACAAAAATACCCTGCACTTAAAATTCAAATTTTTTCAATTTAATTTTGGGGTATGATATTGTAACAACCAATTAGGGTTACTTTACTACCAATCAATTTCACTGTTAGATTAATTATATTAATCCAACGGTTATATTTATTTTTATTTTTGTATGATTATGATTCTCCATATTTAATACTTTATATTTATTTTCACCTTTGTATGGATATAATTTTCCATATTTAATGTTTTTACATTAAATATGGAGATCATGGCCATACAAAGATGAAAATAAATATAATCTTTGATCAACATAATCGGTCTAACGGTAAAATTGATTGGTAGTAATATTGGTAGTAACCCTAGTTGGTTGTTACGATATCCTACCCCTTTAATTTCCCTCATTTTATTTTATTTTCCCGTGAGTTTTTTTTCTCCTCCACCTTCATTATCCAAACCTAATAACAGAGAGCTCTATTCCAGACACATTGTTTGCATCTACATACTGAATTATCTCCTCTCAAATCTCAATCTCCGTTATTGGAAGTTGGAACATTTGCTTCTTCCTCAATCATTGATCCAGTTGAGGCGCAATCTGTATAGATCTAGATCTAAACCAGACCCAGCCAGCCGGCAGCTGCTCGCAAGTAGCACTCAAGACTAGACCTAGATCTATATGTACTTGAACTAACCCAGATCTATATGTACTTGAACTTATTGAGTGCCTACCCTTCATTAATTTTCTGGATCCGCCATTGCACACACACACACACATATATATAGGGCTTATTGTTTCTCAAGTTGCTTGAGATAACTTTATCTCCGGCTACTAAATTATAACCGCACAAAGATAGATCGTTGGTGATAAAGGAAAATAGAAAAAAAGGGAATCACAATCATTTAAAGGTAAATCAATTAATATAAGGAAATAAATAAACAAAACGACGTAGTTTTGGGATGACCGGAGATAAATATATCTCAAGCTGCTTGGTCGAGAAATATTTTTCTCATATATATATATGGGAAAAATATTTCTCCGGCAACTTGAGATAAGTTTATCTCCGGCCACCCCAAAACTGCGTCGTTTTGTTTATTTATTTCCTTATATTAATTGATTCACCTTTGAATGGTTTTGATTCCTTTTTCTCTCTCTTCATTTATCACCATTGATCCATATTTGTACGGTTATGATTTAGTAGTCGAAGATAACTTTATCTTCGGCAGCTTGAGAAATGATAAGCCATATATATATCTGTGGAAAAAGTGTGTGTCCTTCTAAAGGACACAAAATTAGATCATTTTAAAAGAGATATAGACACAAAGAGGTATGGGTCCCACTGAAAAAAGACAAAAAAATTAAAGGTGTGAGTCCTACCTCTTTGTGTCTGTCTCTCTATTAAAATAACATAAGTTTGTGTCATTTAAAAGGACATACACTTTTTCATATATATATATATATATATATATATATATATATATATATGTTTTAATATTTTTACAGTGAATATAGATAAGTTATCTACATTCACTCTCTAAGGATGCGCATGACAACCTTCGCGGAATCAATTCTTTTTTAATTTCTGTTCCCGGGAACAGAAATGGATAGGAAACTCGTTTGGTAAAACCGGTTTATTTTTTTTCCCGGGATGAACCAGTTTAATTTTTGTGCTGGGAACAGAAAAAAGAATAAAAAAATTTCTATTTTTTTGTTCTCGGGCTCAAAATGAGAAACACTTATCTCTCTCAATCACTCTCCACCTCTACTATCATCATCACCACCACCACCATCTCGACATTACTGTCGCCACCATCGTCGCCGCCGCCATCGTACCACTAGTGACGCTGTCACCACCCCTCACCACCACGATGTCACCACCACCATTACCACCACCTCCACCCATCGCTACCACCATGCCACCGCCACCACCACTACCACCATCACCGCTATTAACCTCCACCACCATCATCGCAACCATTACCGTCACCGCCACCATCGCCATCACACGCCAGTGCCACCACTCCAATCGCCATCACTACCACCACTACCATCACCACCACTGTCACCAACCACCACTACCATTGCCGCAACCACTATCGTCTTCACCACTGTCGTCGCCGCCTCCACCAACCACCACCACCATCGTCACAGCCATTACTGTCATCACCACCATCATCGCCACCATTACACCAACACCACCACTACCATCACCAAGCCATCGCCACCACCACCGCCGCCGCCGCAGCCACTGCCACCACCACCATGATGCCTTCACAACCACCACCACCATGTCACTACTACCATTGTTGCCGCCACCAACCACCATATCCACCACCATTGTCGCTGCCACTGCCGTCACCTCCACCACCACCATCCCCACCACTACCACCGTCGTTGTCACCATTATCACTGCCATCGTCGCAGCCACTGCCGTCACAACCACCACCACTATCTTCACCATGTCACTGCCACCACCACTACCGTACCGTCACTGCCACCACCACAACCACACAATATGGAAAGGAAAGAGTTGATCCGAAATTTTTTTATATTTAATAGGAATTATTTTTTATTATATTATTTGTTGTGTTATCAAACACAATTCTCATTTTCGGAATAAATATGGAACATGTTATCAAACACATTTTTTTCTCAGAAACTGTTCCAAGGCACAGAAATAGAAAATAATTGAGTCTTTTCAGAAACAGTGCTCGGGAATAGAATGGTTGTCATGCACACCCTAAACGACGTCGTTTTGAATAAAAAATTAAAAATTATAATAAGAAAGACTATTATAACCCTGAAATAAATTATAATTGCAAAAATACCTTGGGTGGTGTTTGGTTGGGGGTATTTTAAAAGATGCCTATGCAATTGAAAGTGGCAAAGTTAAACACCAATCTTTGGTAGAAGGTTTCTTTCAATTTCCCCATCTATTAGATTTGCATAGCTTTCAACATTTTGTAGTAGAAAGCAAGGGAAATTCACTGTTAGGAAAGACAAATTGCATGTGGTATTTTAAACATAGCCAGAGAAATGGAGGATAGGGCAAATGGCATCAGACCATGATACCCTCGAGTAAATAGAAACTGCATATGATTATGGTCAGCAAATGATTATGGCCAGCAAATACAGAAACTGCAAAAACTTCTGTAAAAAGTAAACAAGAAACAATAAACATTCTATAAAAATTAATAAGGCCCCAAGTACATATGACTATGGCCAACAAATACAAATAAGTTTGAAACTTGAAAATTCACCCAGAAACAATAACAATTACAAAATTCATTCACCAAATGAGGTTCTGCAAATCAACATGGAAATTGGAAACCCTAACTTACAGCAATGATTACAGGCCTCAGAAATTAGTAGGAGTCGACGACAACTTGATTCACAAATCTTCAAATTTCAGAGTTGAAAAATCCAAGAAAATCGAATTCCTGGAAAGCACTTATCTTCCGAGCGGTGGTGGAAACTCACGAGAACAGTGAGGTTCGAGAATGTAACGAGCACGTTTTGCAGGTGATTAGGGTTTCTCCACCACCGAGAGTTGCAGAGACAGAAGGAGAAAGAGAGGAAGGAGAGCGTGAGTGCGTGTCACAAATAATGAGAGTTCCAGCATCCTCAAACTAGATCGAACGGCTAGTTTTGGTTTACACCAAACACGTTTCACTTTTATTATGGGGTTATATTTGTAATTATATCCCTTTTACCCATCAATATTTTATCCTCAACCAAACATTGATTTTTAAAATTTTTATCAATTTGCCTGGTAATATTTGACCCAACCAAACAACTTTTTTTTAACTTTCCTATCAAACTCACTTTCCAACCATTTCCCTAGTATTCAAAATATTTCTCCTCAACCAAACGCCCCCTTTGATTTTCGCCCAAAAACGATGTCGTTTTGGGCTCATTGTAGATAACTTATCTACATTGACTGTAGAAAAAGCGAACCCATATATATATATGAGAAAAATATTTCTCAAGCTGCTTGAGATATATTTATTTCCTCTCACCCCAAAACTACGTCGTTTTGTTTATTTATTTTCTTATATTAATTGTTTGAATAATTATGATTCTTTTTTTTTCTGTTCCTTTATCACCATTGATCTATCTTCGTACGGTTATGATTTAGTAATTGGAGATAAAATTATCTCAAGTAGCTTGAGAAACAATAAGTCATATATATATATATATAGGGTAAAGGATTTCTCCAGTCATCGGAGATAAAGTTATCTCTAATGAGCTCAAAAAGACGTCATTTTGGGACAGAAATCAAGGTATTTTTATAGTTATAATATATTGCAGGGTTATATCAGTCAGTCTTTATCATTATAATTTTTTAATCTTATAATCTCAAAACGACGTTGTTTTGAGCTCACTGGAGATAACTTTATCTCCGGTGACTAGAGAAATATTTTTCCCATATATATATATATATATATATATTTATATATATATTTCATTTTTTCTAAAGTTACTTTAGATAACTTTGTTTAATATTCACTGAAATGACATCATTTTGGGGCAAAAATCATGGTGTGTTTGCAATTTTAATTTATTTTAGGGTTATAATAATCTTTATCATTCTAATTTTTTAATTTTTCAACCCAAGACAACATCGTTTTGATGAACATTAGCCAAAATTATTTAGAATAATATTAGATACTTTTTTCGCGTACATGTCTTATTTAAACCATTCAATTCAAATTGTTCACGATGTTTGTTGGAGTTTATTTTTATTTATGTTTTATTGTCATGGATGACAAAGGAAAATACTTGTTTTCTTCAAAAAAATTAACATAAAAAATATAATTAAATCAGAATCGGTTATATTTATCACCAATTTAAATTAATTTTTATTATTAACCAATTAAAATTAGATCAACACCTGTAATCTTTCACTCATTTCCTCTTTTAATTTAATGATAATTCATAATAGAAATAGTAGTAAAATGAGATAAGAACAAACGGGTAATAGTATAGCTGACCTCATTCACGGGACTACCATCATTTGAGTGGGAAAAAAAAAAGGAAATTAGATCTCATAAACATGTAATCTTATATTCAATTTCAAAATTTATGTAAATGGAAAATTTTTTATGGCCCACATGCGCTCGAAGCCGTTCAAAGTTCGCAACAGAGGAGAGGCAGGCATTGCCACTGAATTAATAAACGAACCTACAGTCGGTTATGATTATGCCCCACCGAAGTACTTCACGGACCTACCCTTTTATTTCATAAAATGAACATGTAGTATTATTTGCTTTCTGTGTCCAATCTTCCTATTTAATGTGAACCCCATCAGAAAAAGGTCCCATTCCAATCTTCGTATTTAACGTGATGCCCATTAGTAAAGGCCCCATTCCTTCACATCTTCGTATTTAATGTGAACCCCACCAGTAAAGGCGCCATGCCTGTACCAAGATACATATCTAATTTTGATATGTTTTTAAAAATTATATGAGATATTTGAAAAGTGGGAAACTATTTTTTTACTCCTATATAAAATTTAGGAGCCTTATTTTTTATCTCAATTGTTCATTTTCGTCTATCCAATGATTGTCAGTTATTTAAAATTAATAATTAATTAATTTGTATAACTCAATAAACTATAATAATTAAATGAATGATCAACGGTTAAGATATAAATTAAGTAAGATTTTTAAATTTTATACTGAAGTGAAAAATTCCTCCAAAATTGTTAACTTTATATATATAACTTTTTTTTTTTGGAGTTACCCAACCCTAATTATCTCTTTGAGACGAGTTGACTCCCTCCGGTATCTCCACGAGCTTCGACTCTTTGAGCCGGCTATGGGACTAATCCGGAGTGCGGGGGAATAGTGATGGCTAAAGGTTCAGCCCCCTCCCCAAGAATACATTCAGCGGGAATCGAACACATATCCAATCCCACTAACTCAGCGCCAAGTTACCAACTGAGCTGCACCCATTGGGTATATATATTACTCTCTTTATCGGTGCCTTAAAGTTTATTTTTATGTGTAATTTTGTTTACATTATTATTTAATCTTATGTTAATACATTATCCAATAAGTTTAATTATAATACATTATTATTTAATTTAGAAGGAAAAAGGATTAAATTTAATTTTTTTTCTTAATTGTTGTATTTAATTATCTATTTAAATATTATATTTTCTCTCCCCTTACATTTTGAATTAAAATATTATAAAATTTTCAAAATAAATAATATTTTATATATTTTTTTCAAAATGGGAAAATGTATAGCCCATGCTATTTTTGTTGAGTCTTGCATTGGAAATGCGAGCATCCCAATACATAAGAGAGGGGAAAAAAGGGTGATCTACGAGTTTGTTGTATTTGTTTGGTATCGAACTTCCCAATGCATAAAATTTTCAAAAGGATCGAACTTCCACAATCAATGTTACATCGAAACTGTCAAAAATTAGATTGGTATAGATAATGTTTTAACCCTTCTTGACTCATGACTCATGAGACTCTAATTCGTTGTATTTGATCTACGACTTTGTTCATTGGTCAGCGATGGATCCACCATGATCGTGGGAAGGAAAGGACTTAACATTCAACCTCGATGTGAATCCATCTAATTAAAGTAAACGCAGACATCTCCGAATCGATGCCAAACCTAGATTGATACAATCTACAACTATATATAGTATTTGTTCAAAATGTTCTTTCGATTCCTTCTCATTTTAGTAACATCACAAAATGTCCATAAAGTTTCCTTTGTCTGAAATATAATCCTCTTTAGATTAAATTTTTTGACAGTTTGTTATTAGAACTTTAAAAATAAAATTTATTTGCAAAATTAAAAAAAAAAAAAAACATTACTGCACATGGGCGAGTTGAAAAGTCAAGCTAACCTTACATTATTTTTATTAATGGCACATAAGGTTGCAGATTCCTAAGCGATCAATGATTCAAAGTTGAAACATTAAACAAAAAAAAATAAAATTGCATCAGAACTATGTACTTAAAACTAAAATCTTACACACGCTAATTTACATAGTCTAATTGATACGTTACGACTCTAACAAAGTTAATTTACAATAATAAATTAATTAACATCTAGAAAACTAGAGCCATTTCTCCTAAGTGCACGAAATACCGATTGCGGTGGCGGTGAACCGCTCCGAAGCTGACCTTCTGACCAAGGAAGAGATTTCCGGCGAAAGTGCACCGATCTCAAATTCTGGAACCTCGGGGATGGTGGAGAGAACCGGTCCAGACTTATCATAAAGCACGTAGAAACGCTCTTTGGAGTTTTTGTCTGGCACTTTGGAAACTTGTAGTAGTGCTGTGTTGTTGTTGGTGCTAGAGATTGTGGATTTATTGCTGGAAGACTTGAAAAATGAGCGAAGGAATTTCTGAAGGGAGCGTGAGATCTTGAAGGGCTTTTTGGATATGATAGATGAAGTTGGTGGTTGTTGCTCTGGCAACGGCTGAAGTGGGAATCGACGTTCAGGTAAATGAGACATTGAAAGGGTTCTGGGACAATTAGCTATAGCTGAGTCAAGTTGGCGTTTGAAGGAGTTGAGCTCGAATGAGTCATAGAGTGTGCTGCCACAATCCCACAATTTACTATTGTCCAAAACACATGATGATGATGACTTTGCCTTTGAAATTTGGTTTTGGTTTTGGTTTTCTTCTAGGATCAGTTTCTCCATATTATGGCTTGTTTCTTGTGTTTGAGCTATTATACACCACAAAAAATTGGCATCCTAGGATACTGTCTTTTTTTTTTTTTTTTTTGTATAAATGAAAACTAAATAGGAGAAGATTCGAGTGTGTGTGAGAGAGAGAGAGAGAAAAGAGAGGGTGAGGTTTGATCGCTTTTCTAATGGTTGGTGAAGGATCAAACGCGTTAGTTGTGACTTGAAACCAGAAAGGTTACTTACTATCCTTATAAGCTTTCCACGTCCAGCATATACGCACCATTAAATCCGTGGGAAAATTTTCCTGTTTTCCATGCGCTGTTCATATTTCTGATGGTTACTAGGTAATTAAATATTGGTCAAATAGAGATATTTAAGTTACAGATAAGCTTTGATTCTTTAAAATTTAAAGTATTCTTTCAATAGCATAATTAAGTACGGTGCGAATTGATTTAATAATTAAAAATTAATATATTAATAAATGAGAACAGGTGGGAACGGGGTACGTGTAATAATAAAAAGGAACCCTTTGATCGTGGGTATTATGTAATATAATATATAATAGATGCGCGTTTGTTAGCACGATTTTCATGATTCATTTAAGATATTAATTAAATAAGAAATATGTTGGTTATGGGTTGTTCAAAAATATTAACTACTGTGAGATCCATACTTGGTTTTAGTTGGACCAGCATATTATTATTTTTTATGTTTGTAGACAGAAGGGAAAAAAAATTAAAAATTATTTGTTTAAATGTAGGCTATGAAGACAAATTTGCAAGATCTCTAACCTCAACTGTTGAAGTTTCATTGGTGGAATGATTTACGTGCCAAAAAAAAAAAAAAACATTGATTGAGTGTATTATTGGAAGAACCCGAAAGTATGCGTTTTGAAGATTCGTACTCCCTATAATTAATTAAACTAGAAACATCAAAAAATATTCTCCATTGTGTTCGACTAAAGTTGAGAAAGTTCATGTTATTCGAAACAAATAAAAACAAGCAAAGGAATTGCTTAGTCCTATTATGCATAGGGGAAATGAACTCTTTCCCCCTAATTAAGAACTTTATACTCAGGAAAAAAACAGAAGTCATAAAAAAGCTAAAAACTTACTTTTTTCAAAAGTTAAAATTTTAACTTTTAAAAAAAGCAGAAGTCAAAAGTCAAATATTTTTTTTAAAAATCAAATATTTTTTTAAAAATCTAAATAGCTGTAACTTTTATAGAAAGTACTTTTAAAACAAAGAAGTGATAAAAAGGACTTTATTAAAAAGTCTATACAAACGCAGCCTTAATCGACTGATTCTATTAATAGTAATTATTGAATTGGTGAAAGTATTGACTTACGAGTATATTCTCAATGTTGAGATAGTAGATACTCCTTTATTTAAAAAGGAAAAAAATTATTTTTATAGGTTTAATATTTCTGTTTTCACTGCAATTTTTTTTTTGTCACACTCACATAAAAGTGAATAAGTCTTATTAATCTTTTCTCTCTCTTCTCTTTATAACGAGACTCACTTATTTAAATGTGAGTGTGACATAAGTTTTTTTATTCTGCAAAAAAAGAATAAACATTTTCACACTTTTATATGATATAACTGAAAAAATAATACAATAAATGTTAGTTGAATTATTGTTTTTTTATTGGAAAAAATGTTTCTGCAGTTAATGCAGATAAGTTATCTGTATTTAACCCCCAAGGGTAGCTCAGTTGGCAGCTGAGCTCCAAAGGGATTGCTTGGTGCAGGGATCAAACCCTGCCTCAAGCAGTTTCTTGGAAAATCTTTGGGGGCCAGAGGATAAGCCAAAAAATCTTCGGTTGGGGGATTAGTCTCGTCCTTTCTCCGGTTGCGAAGCTTAGTGCACCACTGTTACAATGAAGGGCTAGCCCAAACGGGCCGTACCCCGAGGACATGGTGCCCGGAGAAGGTTGAATGGGGATACCTCCTGGCAATGTACCAAAAAAAAAAAAGTTATCTGTATTTATTCCCAAAACGACATCGTTTTGGTATTGAAATATTAAAAAATTATAAATATAAAAAATATTATAACCCTGAAATAAATTAAAATTTCAAAAACACCATGATATCCACCCAAAATGACGTCGTATTGGGCTTACTGCAGATAACTTATCTGCAGTAACGGTAGAAAAAACGAACCTTTTTTATTTTAATTTTAACAAATAATATACTTTTGTAATTTATATTAGGCCATTTTTTTTTGGTAGGGATATTAGGCCTTTAATTTAGCTCAAAAAATATTTTTGATTATTGAAAATAAATAAAATAAAATAAAATTCAGACCGGTTTCTATCAATTTTCAACTATTTAATATATTCTTTTATCATCTTATCTTTGTAGTATTTCATTTATATTTTGGTCGAACCAAGAAGTCGGATCCGATTATTATATCAATCACGAGTAGAATCTGGATTTTTATTTTTGAGTAAAATATTTTTTTGGGTCCTCAACAAATATTATGGTGCCTAATTTAATCTCTTAGAAAAAAAAGTCAATTCGTAATCCATCTAAAATTCAAAATACACTCATATTACTACCTTTTGATGGATTAACACGAGTCTTCTTTGAATTTTAAAGGGATTATGATTTCATCTAACTGGATCTATTTTGAATTTTAGAGAAATCATAAATTTAATTTTTTTCTAAGGGATTAAAATGAATTCTATAATTTTTATTGAGGACCCAAAATATACTTTCTTTTTTATTTTATTTTTTCAGTTTTGCTTATCATCATTTATCCCTTGGCCCAGGTTGATCGTGTATGAGTTTAGCAGCCCAAATATTTAGAATATCAGTGGGCCTGAGATTGTATGAAATCACCGAATGCGTTTTGCAGCACTATATCGTCCAAACGAACACTAGCTGTATAAGGGCCTTGGTCATATACAAAAATAAATGGCTGTGACCAGAACCAAATATAGAAGGGCTCCAACAACGGCATTCATTTTGTTTGTTTATGTGTTGTGTGTCTCACAGTTTTGTGTATTGTTTGATGATTTTTTTATTTTATTTTATTTTAACTAAGGTTTGAAGTACAATGAGATGTGATGTCTCCCATTCATAACTTTGCCCTATTGTAGTAGTAATTTGAATTTATTTTTTCTTTCCTCATATCATTGGTGATTAAAAAAAAGGAAAAAAGTGATCCCCTTGAAGTAAATTGAATATTTAATATTTTTTCATCATTTAGTTAATAAAATTGATAATAAATTAAAATTAAACTGACGTGAAATAAAAGAAACTTGATAATAATCATAACTAAAGAAATTATATTAGAAAATCTAACAGGCATTAATTCATTCTACTTTACAAGGAATGACCATTCCCCCCAACTAAGAAGGAATGACCATATATTTTCGTCTTTCACTAATCAAGACTTTGAATGTTACATGATTTTTGCATACCAATGAATCAAAGAAAAAAAAGGAAACAAAACAATAGCAAAGACTGCTCATTCTTATGGAGTATAGACAAGAATGGACTTCCCACTTACATGTACTAAATAGTAAATACAAGTTCTATGAGCTTAGTATTACGCTAGGACAGTGCTTTTATCTCTGTGCAGAAGTATTTTTAGTGCTATAGTGACCATACTATTAAAATTATTTTAATATTATAACTATACATTTTCCGAAATACATAATTATAATAGTACCATCATACGGTTGCACTGAAAATGCTGTCTCCGTGTGCATTCTTCCATTTTCTTAATTAAAATAGCCTCCATGAAGAACCATGTTAAGGAAACTATTTCTCGCTCTCATATGAATTATGTATCCATTTGCTCAATCAACAACGTTATTGTCAAAGAGCTTAAATCGGCTGGCATCAAGAACCAATTTCCTTATGGAAGAGAATGCGCCCATTATTCCAACACCCGAGAAGACCACCATAATTGAGATGTTAATCCAATAAGTGAAGGATGATTTTTGAGGCTTGAATGTCATGTTGTATAGAAGCATAGGCAGAATGAAATCCAGAGGGATGAAACCAATAGCACCAACCACACCGTTGATGTCTCCAAAAAATGGCAGCATAGCTGCCACAGTCCCACATAATATCATGTAAATTGTTCTAAGAATTATGCGAGGAATAAGATTTCTTTTGGAAAACATCCCCTGATCCACGTCAGCTGATTTCTTCTCCATTATCTCATAAGCCACTTGAGAATAAACCTGTTATACGTTGAGATAAACATTATAACTCCAACGCCAATTAATGGCAAAACTTAGTATTGTTTGATAACCCTTTCCACTAAAAGAGAACTTTGTGAGGTTAATTACCAGGCCAATGGCAAAGAGCTGAAGAAGAACAAAGATGACTCCAAGGCCAAGGACCCAAGTTGGAGCCAAAGAAGGTCCATCATCGGGCATCAGACTCTTTAAAATGTTAGAATTAGACTTGTTTCCAAACGTCCAATATCCAGAAACTGCAGCTGAGTAGAAAGTCACGCCAATTACACCATAGCACATACAAAGGCCTTTTACCATCTTCCCAGTGGCAGGGGGCGCTAGAGTTGCCTATATTCAAAATGACATGTTCAGAGTAAGGTCCAAAATCATTTTTAAAATAAGGGTAGTTTTATTAAATATCTTGAAGCCTCTATTCTCTCTTGAAGCTAAATTTTCCACCTAATTTGGAAGAATTTTATATGCCTCTTCGGCAAAGCAAGCCATACTACAATGATTTTTTTTTCTAATGAAAGATACCGGAATAAATTATTTCAACTTGGGAAAAAGAACTGTACGTACTTGTATCTCAGGTAATATGCCATTCCCAAATATTGCTGCAAGTATGGAGAGGGAAGTGAATGCGCTGAAAGCCCTTGCAGACTTCTTAGGTTCTAAGGAATAGTCCCTTGGAGGGGCGTTTTTCGATGTACCTACAAAATGGTTAAAAATTGATTAAATAATTGAAACATTTCAATGAACCCAAATGTTGAAGGTACCCAATTATGTCTCGAACTATTTGAAAATATAATTATTAACTTTGTTAAGAAACTGAAAAATAAAAACACACACATAGCACAATAATTTTTGAGGTTCACAAGTGAAGTAGATCCTTACTAAAAAAACTCCTCCTTTCTTGATACTCTAAGAGGGGAGGGTAGAAACTTTTTTGTTTACAAACTCTTACAAACTACACTATCTTTTCTCGGGAGAACACTAGGTCACACTAT